CTTGCTCAGATCTTGTGGTTCCTTGAGAAGATTCCAGGAGCCCCTAGGAGTGTTTAATAGGTTCCTGAGGAGGACCTGGAGGTCCTTGACATGGTTCCAGGGGAATCCCAGGGCCCTTTGGGAAGTTCTACAGCCTTGGAAAAGTCCTGGAGTTATTAAGGACATCTCAGAGATCCTGGAGAAGAGTTAGACGTCAATGAGGATGTTGTTGTTGTGTTTGAGTAAATGTCTTGGTTTGACCCGGTGTTTCAGCTGTTGGTACCAACACAGTAGGACAGTTTAGTCCTGAAGCACTCCTGGAACTGTGTCCTCAAGGATCTGTAGGCGTTTACCAGGGACCCTAAACCTCAAATGATACTTTGATAATCAATCAAAGTGATGAAGTTTCATTGTGTGTGAAAATCTCCACCGGTCATGTAGGAGCGTGTAGACAGAACACGCTAGCAAACATGTAGCTGTGTGCAGGTGACTTTACCTACATGCTAATACTCTCTCCTGTCTATGACGATGCGTTCAGGTGACACTGGTCCAATCACAGCAGTGCTGGAGGAAGCTCAGGAGTCCTTGAAACAGTTCAAGAAGTCATCCTTAAAGATTTCAAAAATGTTTCAGGCAGCTTCTAGGATTTAGTCTGAACAGTTCAGACCACCTTGGACAAAAAACAAGTCCCCGTTAGTATAAACCTTCACAGTTTAGGGTGAAGACATGGTTTAAGCTCGGGGTTAGGATTATGTGAGTAGTGGTTCTATAAGTCAGAGTCCTCAGAAATGATGGAAACATGACTGTGTGTGTTCAGTGTCAGCGGACATCCAGCGTGGACGAGAACGAGTAACTGTGTGGAGAGCTGGACTCAGCAGATGAGTTCAAATCTAACAGAAAATACATCTGTGTGTGTGTAGGGCCATTAGTCCGTCACAATATTTTACCAGCTGACACACACACACACACACGTAGCCTGAAGTATTCTGAGTCAGTCTGGCTGAGATGTAAAAAGGTTCCGGATGCATCAGGAGGCCGAGCTGGTTCCCAAACTGGTCTCTAAGACAACCAGGAGTCCGGCAGCAGGTCAGGGAGCCTGACAGCTGCACAGGTTCACGGGGAGCCTGGAGGAGCTCTCCACGATGCTACAGGGGCTTCAGGGATCTTGTTAAGGTTCCAGGAGTCATGGTGAGGATTCAGGAGTTTCAGAGGATCTCGAGGAGGTTTTATTGGTGGGGTTCAGGAGCCCAAGAGATTCACTGAGCCTGTTCAAGGAGTTTCAAAGGTTCTCAGGGAGGTTTGGAGAGTCAGGATCCTCATCCTGACTCTCCAAACCTCCAGGAGTTTCATAGTTGTTTGATAAATGTTCTACAATTCATAGTTTTATAAGTTTCTGAGATTATAAAGGAGATGTTGGTAAGGTTCCAGGAGATTCAGTTTCCTTGGGAGGTTTGTAGAGGAAGTGCTGAAACTCCAGGACTGTTTCAGGTTCTCCAGGAAGTTCCAGGAGTTTCAGAGGTTGTTAAGGAGGCTCCATGTAGGAGCTGCTCGATGACTACAAGGCTCCAGGAGACTTGGCAAGATGTCAGAGGTTTTGGGAAGATTCCAGGAGTCCTTAAGGATGTCCCAGTGGTTCTCTGTGGTTCCAGAGGTCCTTGAAGAGGTTCCAGGATGCTTTGGTATGTTGGAGGTCAAAAATGGAAAATCATATGCATGACTGTTTTCCACACACACACACATGTACTCAGGCACTTTGGAGCTGTCAGTCCTGATTGTCCTGGAGAGAGAGACACGGAGCAGGAGGTCGGCCAGATCCTCCCGGGATAACACACACACACACACTCAGGCACACACTCGCTCCTCAGCACTTACAGATGAAACACAAACCTTCTGTTTTTTCACTTCTCTTGACTCTCTGCCAACAATGTGCTCATTAAAGTGAAATAACATGTCGACATGTTCCTCCCCATACATCTCTCACACACACACACACACACACACACACACTCGGTTTGTAGGGGAGCAGACGCAGCACAACATCACATCAGCAGCTGGGATTTATAAAGGCTCGTCCTGCACCGGCAGCGTCTGGAAATCATTTCTGCTGAAAGAACTCTGGGAGACGAGTGGTGGCGGCAGACTGCTGGGCTTCTCCGAGGACGAGGTTAGCCCAGTGAGGAGGCACGGGGCGGAGAACGTGGAGGGCATGGCGACCAGAGGCGGCCTTTGAGCCTACGCACTGGACTGTGACCGGTCTGTGCACCATTACAAACCAGTCCCACCACCGGACAGAGTTATTACACATAACGCTGAGCTGTTTCTGTCTCAGGAGACATCCTCATGGAAACTGTTGAGGTAAAGGAAGAAGTACTCAGATCCTCCAGTAGAAGTACTAACACCACACTAAAAATACTGCAGTAGAAGTAACGCTGTTCACGCTGCTGCTGTGGGAGAAAACCTCAGGAATGTTTCACTCATTCATCACTGCTGCTCCGTTGCACTGAGGCCACCTGAAACTGGTTTCATTAATAACAGCGAGTCCTGCTGCCGGTCCTCTGTCGGACTGGATCAGTTTGGATCACGTCTGATTATCCTCAAGACTTTTGGAAATGAATATGTGCACAAACAGAACCTCGCTCTCTGGAGCATTAAAGTGAAACTGTTCACTCAGCCGCTGTGGTTCGACACAATCTGTCTCCAGCCCGGTGTTTGCACAGTCTCACGTTACACTGTCAATCTCCTGAAGCCGCCCCGACCTCTGACCTCAAACATGTGGCAGCCACTGTGTATGTGGAGGAGGAACACCTGCCTGACTGAAGCCACTGTTCTTCAGTGGGCTTAATACTCAGGGCCTTGTTTAGCCAATCAGAAGGGAGGCACGTCCCATGTGACCAGCTGTGGCCAAAAAGATGTTGACAGAAAAATATTTAGAAAATCAGTTTGTGTGTGCACGTCTGGACGGGCTGTTGTGTGTCGATTTACAGAAAATAACTGGATTATTTTGACAAAGGTCAAGTGAACTGCTAACAACAAACTCTGATCCGACTGAAAATGACGTTTATGGAACAGATACAAGCTGAAAGACAAAGTGAATGTGGTTTCTTTCCTTTGTTCAAAGAGAAAGTGAATGTGGTTTCTTTCCTTTGTTCCAGGAAAGACAAAACATTTTGCCAGGTCTGAGAAATGTCGTTAGATGCCTCTTTGTACCTCGCAGCTCTTCTTACCACAGTAAATACACAGGAGACCAACCAGATGTGACATGTTGTGGGTCTGGAAACAAAGCAAACTGCCGGATGTTGAGGCCGGTAAAAGTTGCTTCTAGTGCTTTAGAGGTGGTAGACGTGGTCACTGGACATTGGTAAACATCTATGTAGTGTAGGAACACTAGCTCCTCCCACTCACCTCCGTCCCAGACAGCTTTGAAATACAAGACAAAGTTTTACTGTATTTTTCTTTTCATTACAAAACGACAATGACCCCTCTTCATCAAATGTACGTTTAGTATAAAAACTGCTTAAAAACATGATCATGACCAAATGTCAGGTACAAAAAGTGCTAAAATACAAAACCATCAATGTTTCTATAGTTCTGGTGCAGACCTCGGGCCTGAAACAGCTCCCGTACTCCGGGATCTCATGTCACTAAGTCGGCTGAGGTCAACAGACGGGTGAAACTGAAACGCTTTAAAGTGATTCTCAGTCAAAGATCTTCTTCTTTTCTCTAACATTCAAGTTTATGGGTGTTCATATTAAACAAACAGATCTGGGCGTAGCATCAATTTAAGGTTTGAACTCAGTTACAGGCCCAGTACAAGACATCAGAGTACTCTGAAATCCACCACAAGTGGACTTAGACCATTTGGTGAACAACAGTTTGAAAAGCTGGCTGTTCTTTCAAGAGTCCTGTAATGTGACGTAAATATTCCTGAAAGTCTCCCAGTATTCCCGGGAGTTTCAGCACCTGAAGAATCACAGTAACCTGGACAAAGCTTGAAGGTGTTCTAACACTTCTTCAAGGATTTCCTCAAAAGGCTCACCAGTGTTTTCCGGGACAATCCCAGAATATTCCTCACAGATTATAAAGAGTATGATACTGACACTGTTCTAGACTGAGACGACACATCTCAACACAAACCCTTCAGAGTCCTGATGTTCCTCAGGTAACGAAGATGACCAACAAGTCTGTTTGGACGTCCTGGGAACCAGAAATGTTCCTCCACAGTTTTGTCGAGAATTCCACAACATTATTTAAAAAGTCCTCAATAATTCGTCAAAGGTTCAAATAAAATCCAGGAATATTCCAAATGGAGTATTTAGAGATATCCACAGTACTGAAAATTCACTTAGACCTGTTCCAGTTCACAGCTGAACTCACCTCAGTCCTAAACGTGTCTCATTCACGACAGTCGTAGAGACGGCTTTACCTCTGACCGTCAGCTGATCGGGAAGAGGGTTTTCTAGTTTTTACACAGGTAGAACATGGAAGTCTAAAGCATCCAACCTGTTTTCAGTCCCGACAGAAACCAGGATTCAGTCCTAGTCCGCTGGGATTTCTCTTTATTGCAGTTTCCAGGTGTGTTGATGCTGCAGTGCAGGAAGATCCCAGTCTGAAT